GATAATTTGCGTTATCTATTTTCATCTCTAATTATGAAATCGAATGCTTCAATAATAGTATAGATCCAACACATTTACGAACACTTGAAAATCTTGAAAATGGATAGTGTGGATAAAATATTACAAGCTGTATTATTTCTAAGATTTGAATTTTTTTTTTTTTTTTTCTTCCATATTCATACATATCGAGATTTAAATAATCAATTGAAAAGTTTTTTTAATGTCTATAACCTTTTTCCATGCGTTTTTGAGGTACACCCTTTTTTGTACCTTTTTTCTATAATTTAAGGTTGACGCCCTATATAGATTTTTCCTTAAATAAATGAATCACTTTGCAATTTATAAGTTCTTAAAATGCTTAAATGCCATTTACGGGAGCATGGCATACATGCTCTTATTATAGAGCCAAGGTTTTTACTGGTGACACTTTTATAGAAAATCACTATCAGCTGTTTAACAAGAATCCTAGAGAATAAATTGAAGGCGAAAATGCATAAGGCAATACCTTAAAGGGTGAGATTTGTAAAAGGTGCGCACCTTGTGCTGTACAAATAAGGCTTACCTTGAATTTTTGCGGAAGATGTAGTTCTCATATCTAAAATCTTACGATAACTTGAAAATCTATATTCAACCCTAATTATAAAATTTAAAATTTCAAAAAATAGTGCATATCAAATGTATCTATAAACCTTTGAAAATCTAGAAAATAGACAGTTCAGATAACTTATTACAATATGTAATATTGGAAAATATTTTTTCTTTATACTCAAATATCTCGAGCTCGAGATGATCAACTGGAAAGTTTTCCAACTTCAAAATGCTTGTTTCTATTGGGATTTTGAGGTATTATATAAATATTTTTCTAACTCATAATATTTTGAATTGGGTATTGTTTGCAAAAGGAAGAGGCTAACCGATAACCGCCCCGTCAGATCAGAACCGGCCGGTTTTGGTGATCAACCAATTTTGTTTTTTTAAATTCAAAAAATATATATAATCCAAAAAATAAGAAATTTGGTTTGTAATATATTTTTTAATATTATTTACATTACGGTAAAGATTAAAAATTGTTTTGGTCATTAATACTCACTTTTATATTTTCTCATCTTTTCGAAATTTTTTAAAATTACCCCTAGACACAAATCCATTCTTTAAAATCTATTTTTATTTATTTATTAATTTTCAACTTCATTTGAATGTGTGTTTTTTTAATCATTCTTTATATGTTTTTCATGTTTTAGTAGATTTTTTTTTTGGCCAGTTTATCGGTTAGGACCGGTTAAACCGCTTTCGACCCCATATTCGGTTAACCGTTCTGGTTCGATTTTGTGAACACTACTCTAAACAATCAAAGTAAGGCACGCCTTCAAATTGTATCAAACGATATTTCAATACTAAAAATCTTTGTGATGGCATGAAAATTCATTTCCATCTCTAACGACAAAATTGAAAGCTTCAAAAATAGTAAAATTGAGCCGATTTATGAACTCTTAATTTCTTTGAAAATTGACGGTCTAGAAATTGCTTTCAAAGATACACTATTTTTAAGACTTTAAATCCATTTTTTCTCATATCCTTACATATCTAGGTCAACATGGAGAAGATTAACATTTTTTAATAAATTTTGGAGGTGTGGCTTAAAATAAAATGTTTAGAGCCTCACCCTTATATAAAAGGGTGTGGTTTTGAAAAGGCTAAAGCCCTAAAAGTCTGTCATTTCACTCGAGTTCCATTAAGGACTGCAAGGGCGGGGACATAAAGAAGGGCATTATTTTTATTCCTGGAAATTAGGAATGTTTGTCAATTCCCATGTTATTAGGGCTTATCTATGGTCCCGACACTGGAGACACGTAATAAAACGGTTGCCCTAAACCTAAAGTAAATACCCCTAAAACAAACATGATATACATTAGTCAATGGCCACAGCTACTACCGAGGAAGGGGGAAAGCAAAACGATGCTGAAACGCCATCCCTACCATTAAAATGTTGCTCTCTCTCTCTACCAACGTACTCTCTCTCTCTCTAGAAGCCCATGAATTGCACGGCACACCGTGACCCCAGAGGGCACCACAACAGTGCACCATGGTGCTAGTCGAGGACTGGCACCGCACCGGCCAACAGGATGCGATTGACAGATTCTTGGTATAAAAATCAGCATAAGAAAAATTGGGCGTTTCAAATTCTAACCGCTCGGTTAATCGGAACCCGTCACTCGCCGGTTTCAATTTCGGCCTGCTTTGGTGAACCGGTAGAGTATTTTTTAAAAAATTCAAAAAAATTGTGTACTTCCAATAAATAAGGGATTTTGTTTGTAATGTATTTTTTAATATTTTCTATCATCTAGGAAAATATTGGAAATTATTTTGGCAATTAATATTTATTTCTATATTTTGTCATCTATTTTAAATTTTTTTGAAAATGCCCTTGGGCACAAATGGATAATTCAAGTGTTGGAAAACCTTTAAATCGATCTTCTACGCTTGATCATTATGGTTGTGAAAAAAAATTAAGATTTCAAGTTTTAAAAATAGTGTATATTGCAACAAATCATCTAGACCGTCCATTTCACCCTAAAAATAAGTGTTCACCGGATCTGCAAGATTTGTACCATTTTTGGAGTCACAGATTTTACTGTCGGTATTGAAATTTGCTTTTAGAGCCATCATAGAGATTTTCGATGCCAAAAGTGCTTTCTAGATGTGGATTTGAGGTGAGACTTTATTTGGTTTTCATAAAACTTCATTTGGATGTGATTTGCTAATCATGCTTTGAATATATTTTTATATTTTATTAATTTTTTATGTTTTAATACTTTTTTGACCGCTTGCTTGAGACTTGCTGAATTAGACCGATTGAACTGCTTCCATCCCCATATCCGAACTTTGAGTCTAGTCAATGACACACAACCACATGATTTGAAATTGGATGGACAATGATGAATATGATCTCTTTATATTAGAAATAAATAGTCTCTTCTTATACTTATATATATATATATATATATAATATTTGATATCTTTAATGTTTTACTATAGATATATTTTGATAGAGGAATTACATGATATAAGACTGCTCAATTTTGGTACTAGAAGGTCACAATTATTTTAGCCACTGAATGAAAAATATGAGATATTGAATCATTTCGCAATATGCAATAACTTTTATTTTGAATTTTATGTTGCAATAAATTTTATTTTACATCTTCAAACATTCGGTTTTATATCTTATAACTAATGAGACATGTGACCTCCTTATACTAAAAATAAATAGTTTTATCGTATATAGTTCATTTGATAAATTCTAAAACCCGTTTTGACATGTCAGTCGATGGGCTATTTGGAATTTGATTAAAAGAGTAATGGCCAATTTGAAGTTGGATTCATGGTTAAGATGTCAACGAGTTCAAATCGTAGGTGGAGTTTGATAAAATTTTCTTTTAATATCTGCTTAAAAATCACTAGATAATTATTTAAGAAAGAAAAGAATACACATGTTTAATTTTGAGAGTGAGCTATATTTTATGAAAATTTATTATTGAAAAATTCATCAAAATACTATAGAGATGAACTATTTAATATGGGAAAGTATGTAATGAAACCGTTTACCTTTGGTATAAGGTGACCGCAATTGATCTTGACTTATTGGATGTGAAATTGGGTGGTTGCATTTATTTTATGGGAAAAGTTTATATAGAGCCGATGCTCTAAACAATCAAATTAGAGTCTATCTCAAAATTTGATGCTCAAATATCCTCAAATTGATCATCTCGACATCAAGATGCATAAACATGAGAAAAAATGGATTTCAAGATTTGAAATAGTATTTTTTGTAATGCATTTTTGGACAGTCAATTTTTAAGATTTTCATAGATCTATCGATTTACACTATTTTTTAAGCTTTAAACTTTATAAATAAAAATGAAAATGTATTTTAAGGCTATCACAAATATTTTCAATATTAAAATTATATTTCTCGACAGTATTTGGAGGCAAGCTTTAATTTGATTGTTTAGAGCATAGGCTCTATACAAACCACACATTTATTTTATAGACCAAGTTTAAAGTTCAAAACAAATTTTATCGAACTTTATAATACACCCAAGCAATCAATCGGATTTTACATCAGATGGTTATGAGTAATTATGACCTCCTGGTATCAAAGGTAAATAGTATCGTAATATATTTTAATAATATCATTAATTTAATTTCAAAGTACCCATCAAAATAAACATAATCATGAATTGGTATAGTAACAAATGCGTAAAATATTAAATAGTGACAACTAGGGATTGTTTACAAAGAGACCATTTATATTTTGAAATTGTTTCATGCGGGCTAGAGCGCATTTCTACATATGCGGTCTAGAAAGTGTAAAGCGTCCATCTTAAAGATAAATGCAAGTAGGTGATCCATCTAAAAACAAATAGAAACTAACGGTCCAAATTTTTTTTTATTAAAATTATTATTTTTTAATTTTATTTATTTATTCATATTCATGATCTCCATGTTAGAGATTACATGTCTTTAAAAATTAAGTCCTAAAATCCATCTCAAAAATAGATTTATTAAGAAGTCCACATTTCTACATATGTGAGCGTAGCCGCATAGAAACCAGGTCCTTTATCTTTTATATATGGAGATTACGATCATTTTTACTTACTAGATGTTGGATGGCTCGAGGTGAGTGACTAATTCTCATAATGTTTTTTTAGAACTTTGTGTCTATTCAATGATATTACTACAACCATCTATTTTAAATTTTAAAAAACAAGATTGATTATGACCTTCATGTACACAACATAAATAGACAAATCCGTTTGGCGACTGACTGCATTGAAGAATATAGAAATCCTAAAAATGTCTTTTTTTTTTTTAAAAAAAAAAAAGAAAAAAAGGGGGGGGGTAAAAGTAGAGTGTGGCCCCGCGGTAGCGCCTAATCTTTGCGTAACTGTTTGTATAGACTGGACGTCGGCGCAAGCGTCTCTTTCTCAGACTTTCGCTTTAATCGATCGAAGAGAATCACCGCTCACTCACTCTCTCTCTCGCTCTCTATCGTCCCGTAGCTGAGCTCTGTGTCAAACTCGATTTTGGTGCTCTCTCTCTCTTTCGTCCCATATCACTGTCACAACTCGATTTTGGTGCTCTCTCTCTAAATCCGAGTGAGATTGTGGAGGAAGAGTCACTCTCTCTCTCTACATATACACAGACACCCCGTAACAGTAAAACCACCAATCTCCTCATCTCTGCAAAAACACCATCTTTTCCCACTCCCCATGGCGCCACCCTCCACCTTCTTCTCCACTTTCATGGCCGCCATTCTGTGCTCTCTTTCTCTCTCCTCAGCTTCAGAAATGGACATTCTCCTCTCTTTCAAATCCTCCATTCGTGACCCAAACAATTCTCTCTCTTCATGGAACCCCACAAATGCCCATCCCTGCAACTGGACTGGTATCCAATGCAACCCATCTTCTCTCTCCATTCTCTCTCTGGATCTTCATTCACTCTTTCTCTATGGCGAGTTTCCTCTCTCTGTCTGCCAACTTCCTCTCTCCAACCTCAATCTAGCCAACAATCTCTTCAACCAACCATTATCCCTGCAACTTTCTCAATGCCATGGCCTAAAGACCTTTAATCTGAGCAACAATCTCTTGTGGGGCACCCTGCCAGACCAGCTCTCACTCTTGAAATCAATGGAGGTCTTGGATTTGAGCAAAAACCATTTTGAAGGTCACATACCTTACACTTTAGGGAATTTACAGAGCCTCAAAGTTCTTAACTTGGCCAATAACTTGTTCACTGGTAAGGTTCCTTCCATTTTTGGAAATTTTACAGAGCTTGAGGTTTTAGACTTATCTGAAAACCAGTTTCTCAACAGTGATATGCCTTTGAGCTTTAGCGGCCTTCACAGATTGAGGAATTTCTTTCTTCAGGGCTCTGGTTTTCATGGTAGAGTGCCTGGGTTTTTCGGGGATTTACAAGGGTTGGAAGTAATAGACCTCTCTCTAAATAATTTTTCAGGTGAGCTCCCCATTAATCTTGGTTCAAAAACGAAGTTACTATTTTTGGATGTTTCAGGGAATAGGTTAAATGGGGCTATTCCTTCTGATATCTGCCATGGGAATACCTTAATCCACCTTGGTTTACAGAGTAATTCATTTACTGGTTCAGTTCCTTCTTCTCTTGAGAAATGCCTTACTCTTGAAAAGCTTCTGATTCATAACAATGCTTTGAATGGGAATTTTCCTGTAAATATATGGTCACTTCCAAAAATAAAGCTTATCAGAGCTGAAAACAATAGGTTGTCTGGTTTTATTCCAAGCTCAGTTTCTATGGCTACCACCTTAGAACAAATACAAATAGATAACAATAGTTTTAATGGAACCATACCTTCTAGTTTGGGCAAAATCACTACTTTTTATAGGTTATCAGCGTCTCACAACAACTTCAATGGAGAAATCCCTGAAGATCTCTGCAACCCAGATTCATCTTCTTTGAGTATAATCAATCTCTCTCGTAACTCTCTATCAGGAAGAGTTCCTGACATGACCAACTGTAAAAAGCTTGTCTCCTTCTCTCTAGCTGGTAATGACTTAACAGGAGAGATACCAAATTCTCTCTCTAGCTTACCAGTCCTAACCTACATTGATCTCTCTTCTAATAACCTCACTGGTTTGATTCCTCCTCAGCTCACTAACCTGAAACTTGCTCTCTTCAATGTCTCATTTAACCAGTTATCTGGCCATGTACCACCTTCTTTGATTTCAGGCCTTCCTGCTTCATTTTTCCAAGGGAATCCAGGTCTCTGTGGCCCTGGTTTACCTGATTCCTGTGAAGATCGCCAGATGCCGGCCAAAAAACATGCCGGATTTTTTGTACCTCTGTGTTTTGTTGGCGGAATTTTGATGCTTTTTGCTGGAGTAATTGTTCTGTATGCTTCTCTCCGGCGAATGTCTTGCCTCCCGAAAAACTGCAACTCCATTTCTTCTCCTGGGGTCTCGGAACTAGAGGTTTTGTCACACCTCGAAGAGAAAAACTCAATTGGGGCTGGAAATTTTGGCCATGTCTATAGAGTTCAGCTTCCTAATGGTAAATTTGTGGTGGTTAAGAAGCTAATGAAGAACTTTGGTGAGAGAAAGCTTGGAAAAAGTTTAATGGCTCAACTTGAGAAGTTGCAGAAAATCAGGCACAAGAACATAGCTGAATTATTGGGTTTTTGCTACTCAGAAGGGACAATGTTTCTGGTTTATGATTATTTTGAGAATGGGAGCCTAGAAAGATGGGTTTGTGGGGGAGAGAGAAACTTGGGTTGGGATTTTACGCTTCGAATTGCAGTTGGGGTAGCAAGGGGTTTGGCTCATCTTCACAGCATCTCAAAAGATCCGATTCTTCATAGAAATATCAAGGCTAGCAATGTGGTTTTGGGTATCGATTTTGAGCCGAAAATCATTGATTTGGGGCTGAATCTCATTGTCGGAGAAGCTGATTACCAGGCATCCATGGATTCTGGAATGGGTTCCTACTGTAACAGAGCCCCAGGTAAAATGTTTTCAGGACTACTCTCCATTAATTTTTTTTACAGTGTAATAGTTTTGCGAATTCTAAAATCTTGCAGTAAGGGGTTCATGTTTCTAGCCTTTGGCTTTATTGTTTTCTACAATCTATGCGGTCCAAGGCCAAGGTTTCAAACAAAAACAATTGGCTTTCTATGGGTTCATAGCTCATTTTTCCTGCTATGTTACTTTCCAAACATAGACTTTGTGTTACTTGGATTCACGACTCGGATGAGTAACTCAGAGTGCCTTTTAAAAATTCAAAAAAATCCCCAAAAATGTGAAAAATATGGCTTTTTGACCGACTAAGTGGAGTAACTCACCTTGGCGAAGAGCTGCATCATTGCATAGACTGTAGTAAACTATTTCTTATCCATGTTGCTACATAACAATCTTTGGTTCAAAACTCTGTTTAATGCTTTTCTCAATGGTCACATTCAAGCATGCATGGAAGGCCTGAATTCAGGCAAACTTGGAATAGCTCTGAGAGAGAGAGAGAGTGAGTCAATTATTGACAGTGTTTTGTTGGTCATCAGAATGCGGTTACAGTACGATGTCAACCGAACAGATGGATGTCTATGCATTTGGAGTTCTCTTGCTGGAGTTGGTGACCGGAAAACAAGCAGGATTATCAGAATCCGGGGAAATGGTTGGTATTGTGAAGTGGGTGAGAGGAAAAGTGAACACAAAGGGTGGCGCCTTTAAAGTCCTTGATCCAAAATTTGGTGACTCCTTTAAACTTCAAATGGTGGGGGCTCTGCAAATTGCCCTTAATTGTACCACAGTCACTGCTCGCATGCGACCCACCATGAATGAGGTTGTAGAAGAACTTGAGCATCTCGATTCACAATCTCATGTGGGTCGCTGATCATTCAAATTTTATTGTTGTTTTGGTGTTTTTAAGGGCTTGACCTCGAAAGTTTATGTCATGCTGTTGAGAGAGGATACTTCTGTTGATCCATGTATAAAATTTTGTTGGAGTCTCATGTAGATTTTGGCTGAAAAAAACCTTCTACACCTCATCATATCATATGGGGAGTTCTTTCATACGACAACACTTTCACGAAAGTATTTTTGCGCCTACCAAATGTGGCCTTGAAGCCTGATTTTAAATGTGCACCCCTTCTCTATCTCAAAGGCTGGCTTTCCATTACCTATAAGTTAGAATAATTCAACAAATTCTATAATAAATGTGTCCTTGAAAACCAAAGGGTGCGGCTTGTATAGAGCCTAGGCTCTAAACAATCAAGCTAGAGCCTACCTTCAAATACTGTCGAAAAATGTGGTTTCAATATTGGAAATCCTTGTGATCGCCTTAAAATA